GCTATTGTAATGTTGTATTTGATGCAGATGTAGCCATGGACATTATTTTGTGCCTAGGCCTCTTACAGAAAACATACAACTTTTAAAAATAAAGATTTAGCATAGTTTCAAAATTGTTATCATTATTGTTGTTTAATAAGGACTAATACGATTATATATGCTCAAACTGACACCTTACATGAATTTCATGTAGTTAACGTATTTATTTTGTAATAGGTAAAAAAAAGAAGAAGAAGAATATGTGGTATATGTATTAAATCAATAATGTAAAAGAAGGTGTGATTTAAGGTATATAACTTAATTGTATGATTAATTAATAAATACTAGTATTGTGTAAGTAGATAGAAAAATGCTTCTGTGCTTAATAGTATATAAATAATTAGTATAATATTGCATAAATTTGCACTATAAAAGGGGGACAAGGGTAAGTATCAGTTTCATACACAACACAAGACTTGGAACCCAAAAAAGACAACAGATATGTCTGGATCATCTCAAGCCTCACCTAATCCCTTCCCGCCACCGCAAGTCGAATCCAAAGACATTATCGTGGACCACTCAAAGTCATCAAGGATGCGTCTCTACGTCCCCACTACCGCACTAAACGGCGGCGTTGCGTCTAAAAAACTCCCTCTCGTTGTCTACTTCCACGCTGGAGTTTTCACCAGCCGCAACGTCTTCGAATCTGAAATCTTCACCTTGGTCGTTGGAGGTATTGCGTGTGAGATCAACGTGGTCGTTGCGGCAGCTTCGTACCGGCTAGCTCCTGAGAACAAACTCCCAGCGGCTTACGAAGACGGGGTGGACGCGGTTGAGTGGCTAAGAAACAACTCGGAAGAAGACGAGTGGCTCAAATCTTACGCCGATCTTTCTAACGTCTTCCTCATGGGGACAGGCACCGGTGGTAACGTGGCTTACAACGTCGGGCTTAGATTCGCCGAGGAAGTTCTAACTCCGTTAAGTATCCGTGGATTGATCTTAGAGAGTCCCTTATTCAGCGGCGAAGAGCTGTTCCCGTCTGAGCGTGGACACTTACTGACACTTACTGATGTCAGTGTCTTAGACTCTTACTGGATGCTTTGTCTCCCTGACGGAGCTGACCGAGATCATGAATATTCGAATCCGACGGTGGGAGCTGGACCGGACAATATGGAGAAAATCGTACGGTCGGGATGGAAGGTTATGGTGAGGGGAGGAGGTGATACTCTGAGAGAAGTGGCGAGGTTGATGAAGAAGAAGGGAGTTGATGTGATGGGGCGTCTTAACAGCGAAGATCAGGATGCTTCCGTCAGAAGTTTCATTTACTCTTCTGCACCGTAAAGGTTTTTATTTTTCTAAAAATAAAATTCCATAAAAATAAAGAGGCCAGTCCCATATCTTATGCCTCATTTAAAGATTACCTTTTATGTATTGGTTTGTGGAAAAAATATATAAATTAAGAATAATACTGGAGATCCTAGAGGCTCTTGATTGGCATTTCTCGTCTCCAATGTTGTGAAAGGTCTGCTTAGTGGTGGTCTAAATAACAGTTTATTTATGATGATTTTACTCAGTTCTACGTTTTACAGAAGGCTAATCATACATAAAGAGGCTCTCTCTTTTGTTAGACATATCTCTATTTCTCTTTCTGGAACTTGGCATTGACATTACTCTTCTCCAATGTTTAGTGGTCTAGATAACAGTTTATTTATGATTTTACTCAGTTGATCGTTCCAAATTTTACATAGGGCAAATTATACATATTAATGAGAAAAAGATTTATAATACTTATTCAGAATGATAGAAAGAGTTTTTGTTAAACATGAATTCCATAAAATGGTTTAG